AAAACACTAAATCATTGATTTAAAGTCAGATTGAGGAGCATTAGAAGCATTTGGGCCTCATTTTTGGGCCAATAAAAATCAAATTAAAGTGCTTTGTCTCCACTTAATCTGTGCACATTTCACTTTACTCTTTAAATCATAAATGGAGCTGTATTTGTAGAGGGCCTTTTTCTAGTCTTCCGACCGCTCAAAGTGCTTTTGCACTACGTGGATTCCCAACCCACTGAAAGTGTCCGATGTGAATACCAAAAAGGGGTGCTATGTAACTATCTTTGACATGCTTGAAAGATTATATTGTGTATACTTACAAAAACAAACGAACAATCAGTACCAATAACAGCGAGTTTCTAACTTGGCTATCTGGTGTCTACCGGTAATGACAACTATAACACCCAACACAGGTAAAATATGACAAGTATTTTTTGAAATAGTTTCCAATGACCCCAGAGTTTTCCCAGATGGTTTCTGTGCAACAAGGAAGACTTTGATGCCCTCAGCCTGAATGCTAATTGAGACTCAAGTTCCTCCCACCTGAAGTAAAGGAAAGCAACTTCACATTAGTGTCCGGGCCTACAGGTAGCCTAGTCATGGGAATTACTCCATGCACCCCCCTCCCCCTCCCATATTTATCATGGATCGATTACGGCTCCATATCCTGTCTTTAACTTCCTTCTTCATCGATCAGGAAACCAAAAAGCGAACCACAAAAAATATCCTGCCGGGTGTGCTACAATCCCAATGATAATTGCAAGACACTGGTAGCATGAACCCATCGTTTTTCACTTCTGTGTTTGCGGGGGCCTGCACTATCACTTATATAAATGTGTGGTTGTATGTTGTGTGTGTGTGTGTGCTTTTGTCGTGAGCAGTAATGTGTCAGGATGTTTCTACGAAAGGATGGGTGGTTTGACGTCAGCATCAAAGGAGCTAAAATGAAAATCTCTGATGAGGGGTAGAGGTTGTGGATAGTTCCCACTGACCACAAAACACATACATGCACACTCACAGTATACACACAACACACAACCACACACACAACAAACACACAAAAATACACACAGAAGCAGTATCAACACTGCACATCTTCTCCGCTTACCAATAAAAACCCAACGTCCTTTCAAGCTTTGTGTAGTTTGCAGCCTGATCATTCAAACCAGTCAACCAGATAACCAGACAGCGGCATTGGTCAAAATGTTCTTACGAGTATCCTGTCCCATCACTCTCCTCCTGCTCTCAGTGTGTCTGGTGGCTTCCAGCGCCTCTGCACGGCAACCGTTATAGTACCAAATTTAATTTACCAAATCTATACTGAGCCAGGCATTAAATGCCCTGCAGAATGTTTACATTGAGCTTAGGTGCTACATTATTGTCATTCCTTCTTTATTTTATACTACTTTGATGCAAGGTCTATTTGTCTTCCATCTCGGAATACCTTGTTCCATCATGGGGTTGCCTCTATGTGTGTTACGTTTGGGTTATCCATCACATAGCATTTTAGTAGTATGTAGTATGCTTTTCAGAAGGTACACACTGCACACTTCTTCATTGGTTTCAAAGGGAAAGCCGCCCTGGGTAGGCTTTAATAATAATTACAGTAGTTGTCAATCCTCTTGCTAATGGTTCATGTTTTTTTATATAAGTCATTTGTATTTGGGCATCAGATATTACATTGAGAGTGTTTCCATATCAGTTGAAATAACCACATTTAGATTATTTTTGAACTCAACTATAGTTAATGGGGATTAACAATAACCTCTTTCACTTCCTCAAAGTGTAAAAAGCGTTAAAGAGTGAGAAACACAGAATAAGGCCCGACACTGACTTCTGTTCACTGACTCATTGAACACATCTAATGGATTCAACTGTTGGTCCATACAGTATATAGGGAGACAGTCGAACAAGATTCTGGTTTTCAATTCTACTTTTCTGCTTTGACAGTAATTTGCTTAGGCCCAATCATATGCTCTATAATCTCCATGTT